GCCACGCTGGGCATGTGCCTGTTTCGGAGGTAACGCTTTTAACTGAATCTCAGTCAAATACCAGTAAAAGGAAACAAATGGGGCAGCTTGGAGTTTGCTTCCATCTGAAGGCTCAGGAGAGCAAAGAGATGTGGGAACATCATTACATGTGGGAATTCCTCTTTTTAGTCAGAAGGCTTGAAGAGCCGACTCTGACTTTTTCCAGGCCTGCTCGGCTCCCGTAACTCGAAGGCCTTGGCTGCCCGGAAAAGCAGAGCTCATGGAATTGGCAGCTTGGGGTCGGCACCGTGGTGCCTGCGAGGCTGCCTTTCGTCTGCTGCCTTTCGTCTGCTGCTGCGGAGGAAAGGGGGACGTCGTCGTTCCCTAGCTAGGTCTCTTTGGCTTACGATGAGGAGGACCATGCTAGCGTGCCTTCCTGCCCGGCAGGCTCCGAAGGTGAGGCGCTGTGTTCTAGGTGAGAGCTAGACTGGCTGAAGACGTTTGCCACCCCGCGAGGCAGGGACCCCATGGAGGAATGTCACCTCTCCGCCTCTGCCAGGCGCGGGACGGGAAACTGTCTGTGTTTCTGAGCGATTTGGGCTGTGCTGGCCCAGCGCACGCGTGTTCGGAGTGGTGCGGAAGGGCGCCAAGAGCTCCTTTGCTCTCTCTTTGGCCTCTGGAGGAGCACTGAGAAGAGCAGGCAGCCATTTAAAGTGCCTGGCAAGTAGCTTGCTCCAACTTGTAAGCCTTTTTCCTCACTAATTTTCTTGCAACTGTGCAGGAACAGAGACAGGAAGGATGGCTTGGCTCTTACTGAGTGGCGAAAAAAGCCTACTCGCTACAACTGAGGGTTGCTGCGCAGACGTTGGGGTGGTTGTTGGTGGTTGTTTTTTAACTGGATATTTTTTCAACATTGGTTTTGTTCAGTCAGAAGTAAAGCATTTTAATGGGTTATCTTTTAATATTCAGTTTGCAGCTTTCTGTGTATTGCTTTGGCCGGGGAAAGAGGAGCAAAATGACGAAGCATGCATACAATTGCATAGGAGCTTATATCTATGTATAGATAAATATACACACATTAGATATTATATATTTATGTATGTGTATATGTTTGATTTATATATTGTTTTCCTGGAGTTCCGGCTTTTTAGAGAAATACTCGTCCTTTATTTTGAAAAGGGGGGACAAGTTGTTCAATAAGATGATAATATCCGGAGAGCGGACACTGTTTTGTGTTGAAGCATTCCTGATGCCTCCCCTTGGAAACTAACGACCCCGTTGGGCTGTAGGACTGTGGTGTAATTAGATGGCCTCCAGTGCTAAAGATTTGCTGTTATGAGTTATTAGTAGAGAAAAGGCTGCAGTAGGGTTTTTTCTAGTGTGTGTAAAAAATGGTTATATTCTCCTGCAATTCTTTTTTGTGGTGAAAGTAAAATTCTGTTTTTTGCAAAAGTTAGCAAATTATAACATAGGAAAAATAACATGCCCGTTTGGTCCATTGAGGCAAAATTGACAATTTTTGTCTTTAAAGAGTTATTTCTGTAATAACATTAATGTAGAACAAGATGGCATCTGTGGTTGAATTTCTTGCATCCTTTATAATAAGGAATAAATAACAATTATTTATAACAATGATAAATGCGTCAAGATTGTATTGTTTTGGTGATCCACGCATCAAAAGAATTATGTAAAAATTTTAATTTGTAAAAGTATTTAATAGTTTTTTGTCTTTAGAAGCTGAAGTGTATAGAGTAACTGTGTAGAAGCTTCAAGCCTTCTCTTTAGGGAAGACTAGAGCTTTGAGGGGGAAAATTTCTCAACTGGTACTTAACCAGGTCCCATGGGTTCCATCTCATATGCATTGCTGTTATATTAATACAGAGTGGGCTGGTTTTTAAGAAGTTAATTTGGACTTTATAAATAGTCACATAATATTGATCATCATCAAACTTATATCTTGAAACTGTTGCATGTGCATTGCTATTTGGAGAGAGATCGGTTGCTCCTTTTATAGTACTTCTTAGAGGCCTCATTGCACTCTGCCTTATGCTGTGCTCAGTTACATTAATAGATATAATACAAAAAATAAGAGGATTGTACTTTGACCTTTTTGAGTTCTGACAAAGTACTTTTTTTTTTTTTTCTTCTTCTTCTTCTCAATCCTACACGTTTTTGATGGGTCCCTCTTTGAATCACTTTTTGGCTTTGTCGTGTCCTATCTGTTAGCAGAGCTACGTCTGCTGTCTTGGTCTGAGAAATCATCTGTTGACCTCTTAGTGTTTGCCCTGGACCAAGTGTGGGTCAGGATTTACAAAGTGATAACTGCTGTTGGAGAGAGCTGTGGGAGCTTTCTGGATGGGTGCCTTCTGGAGCCTGGAGTACGTAGCCATTGCAAGTTGGGACTGCTTCTATTTAGCGCTTCAGAGGTATCTTCCCAGTGGGTTCTCAGCACCAAACTTTACTTTACATATTGCTCGTGAGAAACCGAGCACCATGGAAGTTTGCCACACTCTTGGTCATATTGCTTTAAAGCTAGCCCAGCCAAACACAGGTCCAGAGCATCTGGCAAAGTTGGTGTTAAAGGTTTATGCACCTGCTGCCTTGTCACTGTTTTGTTTGTGCCTCAAGTGTATCCAGTCACTAGATGGCTGAAAGTAGCTTAACCTTGTCTTCCTTAAAACTAGGTGCTTCCTCTTTGACATTAGCGTTGGAATTGACCAAAACTCCCCTGGCTTCAGCTTTTCATCATAGGGGCTACTCAGAGGTGTCTGAGTGTGGTGAGTCCTTGTACTCTTCTATCAGGTGAATCCAGGATGGGTTTGCTTTGTATGTACTTTTCTAGTAGTACTTTTTGTGTACTTCTGGAATCTGCACAGTATGTGGATTCTACGCCTGAGAGGGAAATCCAATGGAGTTGGGCACCGTGTACCTCATGGTATCCAATGTTCCCAGCACAAAGAGGTTGGAAGCAAGTATAACCTCTGTAGCCCTCTATAGGGAAAAGTTACCTGACCTTGAGTGACAAGGGGTGCATATATCCACAATATAACTTTTCAGATCTTCCGTGCATACTGAGGTCAGATAACTCATAAATAACCTTTCTGTTTGAACGAATGCATGCCTCAGCATGAAGATGATTCTTGATCTTTTTACTTGCTGCTTTACTCTCTAGTTTTTCAAGACGGAGGCACGTATATTTCCTAATATACAAAGTATGAGACCAGGCCACCATGACAGAATGTGTGGTTGGTAATTTTGAAGCCATTAAGCTTGACTGTTGCACACGTAGGAGTTTAGACCCCCAACTAACATTACAAGATCCTAGCTCTCATTGCCGTTGCCAGGGAGAAAACCCTTACACCATCTAACCAGAGGCTTAGTGAGTTAAGCTTCTCCCTGGCCTCCATGTTGCTGAGTTGCTTCTATGGGATGTTTTCAGTCATTGTCCTAGACTGCCCTTGAAATAATGATATTATAGCTAGCATTGCTCATCGTTAATGTGGGAAAGTAACTTTTTTGCCAAGGCTGCTTCAGTCAGCATTTATGCGTGAGTAACCTGATAGCCTCAAATGTCAAAAGGTTCTAGTATTTCAGTTAATGCAGGAGGATGCAATTTGAAAATAATGCAGAGTGAAATGTGAATAAAAGATGTTTTAACAATTTTAATATTTATAAAGAGATGCAAAATATGAGATTGGAAGGGAGTTTTAAAATCTCAATTATAAAAAATAAACCTAATACAAAAGAATCACAGATTTAAAATATAGCTTATAGGTGTTAGAATAACAGGAATTTGTGCATTGCGTAACCTTCAGATATTTGTGGAACTTTGCAAGTTGTGAGCAAATCAAATTATCTATTTAAAATGGAAATGAGCAAACGAGCAAATAACTTTTGGTTTGGTTCAGTTTTAAAAGTAATGTTGTCTCTTCCCCTCCCTGCCTTCCGTTTAATCTTCTATCTGAACTGATGGGAACAAAACATTTTCTCCTGTTCAATTGTTAGCCTAGTATTAGCTGATTTCCCGCCTCCCCCCGCCATGTAGTTGGACTGAATAAGGAGCTTTTTAAATGAATGCAGTGTTTCTTAATCTTGAATTCTGGATTACTTCCTGATTATATATGCCTGACCCATTGTGTACTAAACACGGAAACTAATAAACTGTTGTTCATGGTGTACTGTTTTGTGTGTGTTGTAGTCGGAACGTTCTCTCAGATACACTAGAGTATTGTATCAGGTTACTGCTATCTTTGTGAGGGCTGCAAACTGGAAGGTTTGGTGAAAATTGTCTTTGTAATATATTTTGAAAAGTGCTTTGTAAATGTTTACGCTGACTCCAAGTTCTTTCCTTGAAGTTTGGGCTTGCAGTGATGTCAACTTTGCCTGACAGGAAATAGATCGTGCTCTTCAGCTCTTCAAGACTTTGTAGATCCTGGTCTCAAATATCTATTTCTTAATAGTAGTGGTAATGTTTATTTTATAGATTGGGGAAGAAGGTTTCTGTAGCCTGTTTACATGTTGCCATTTATTACCATTTAAGGAATAATTGTTTCCATTTGCAGGTTAGAAGTGCCCTCAATTGTTTTATTTCCTGAGAATCTGTTCAGTTTCCGATAACAATTGAACAGTTGCGTAGTGTACGTGGTGATTGTTGACAAGATCCTGTCTCTGTTTCCTAGAAACATTGTTTCTTGAAGATAATTTGAGCCAACATCTGGTCTTTTTGATAATAGTGGATCTTAATAGCCATTAAAAACCTTCTCTTGCCTCAAGAAAGGAACATTTCCCAGACAAGTAATGACTTACGGATCATGAAAAGCTTCTTTAATACTTGGAATTTAAGAAAAATCTTCAATGTGAATATAGAAAAATCCAAAATATGTTTTCTAACAACTTTTTTATTCAGTATTTCATGATGTTTTCTTGTCACTGTCATCTCTTTTACCTTCTAGTGCTGACAAATTTGTTGTCTTGGGTATTTTACATCAGCAGATGATCTCTTTTTCACCAGGTATATTTTTTAGCTGAGAACCAAGCCAGGAAGGGGAAAATATCAGACTTTAGATGTGATTGATGATTCAGTCTTGTACACACAGAACACAGAAATAAGGATTTTTAATGCAGTTCACTTTGAATTTTTGAAAAACACAAACAGTATCTCTTTTTATCATGTAGCCTTGATGCTGGTTGTCATTTTCTTTTCTTTCTTTTCTGTGTCTTGAGAAATTGAGATCTATTATGGACTTTTCCCTTTCCTTCAGTATTCATTTCTGTTAATAGATTTAATAGTTTTAGCATAAATACTGAGCTGTTTCTTAGCCCATAGATGTTTTAACTATTTCTTAATTGATTCATCTTCTGGATACAGCTGGCTGTGAGGCAAAGGCTCGGTAAAGCTGTGTGCTCTAAAATTTTATCGGGGGTGGGGAGGTAGATGTTTTCCTGAACAGAACAGGGCATTATTTTTTCAGCTGTTTCTAGCTTTGAAGAAGATTGCTCTTATCTGTCCTTTATTTTTTGTTGTTGCAGCAAAATTCTGCTGGGTGCCAACTCAGTTTTTCTTGATACTGTAGAACATAAAACAAAGATTTTTTTTTTTAAACTAAAACATTTGCAAATCCAGAAATTGTTTTATTCTAACAATTATTTTGCTATCCAGCAAGTAATGTCTCAAGACAGCTATCTGAAGAACAAAGTTGAAGCTAAACTTTTTAGTTTTAAATGAAGCAAAGCAAAACCAAAAAAGTTTTGGACTTTTTTGGATTAAGCATTTTCTGCCCTTTGTGTTGTTGCAGCAACATACTGCTTCGATGTATGCCGATATTTCTGGTTGGACGTCTTGAGCTTTTTTCTAACTTTCATGCTGGAGAGAGAGCAGATTTTGTCTGTGATAGCTGAGAGTTGCTTTTAATTAAGAAGAAAAGTTGAAGTCTCTGGAAGAAATTAAGAAAAAAGACACTTTTGTATGTGACAAATTTTAAGCTTTCAATGACTCATTTGGAAAGTTACACACTAAATTTTTACTAGTGCAAGTAGTTTATTTCTGTGTGTGATAATTACACACATGTAAGCTCTTTTAAATCTTGCATAAAAACCAGTTTATTTTAGTAACACATCTAAAAGCATTTTCCTGAAATCCTAAGGCATGTTACTTAAACATGATGATTGTAATTTTTGCAGGTTTCTGTAGCTGCATCAAGTGCTGGAAGAGGATCTCCAGCTGTAACTCTAGTGCAGTTGCCTTCTGGTCAAACTGTTCATGTCCAGGGTGTCATTCAAGCCACACAGCCCTCAGTCATTCAGTCACCACAAATGCAAGCTGTTCAGGTTAGCTGTTTTATTCTTATGTTTTCGTGAATATGTGGTGCCTCTTTCCTGCACCTCCTTCAGTTTCTCTTCATTCCTACCAGTGTTGCAAGTTTTACTGGTAACAGGGGGCGTGGAGTGTGGCAAACTGCCAACCGATAGCAGCATTGTGTAGCGATTCCTTAATACTTCCTGTTTATCTTTAAGAAATTGTTGTCTTGGAACCCTTAACTTGTGCAACAGCAGATTTGTGTAATAACGTGATCTTATTTTACTGTCTTGCAGTTTTTCTGTTGTGTTTTATACTATGAACATCTTGTCTCTAATGAGACTACCAACTCTTAAGTTTGCAAGTGTCTCTTATATTGTATTTTTGAAGAGCATCTGGGTGTAATGCAAGCATTGTAGTTTCAGGTCATTCCTTATTGTTTTTAGCAGGCTCTGCTAAAAGCATCTGGTATTGCTTTTTGTGGGTATGTATGTGTAAAGAGAAAAAATTAAGTGCAATTTCCAAGTAAGCATTTATTTGGCAGATCTTTGCAAGTTTAAAGGAACTGGTACAAAGTGCTGAAGGGTTTTCAGAGCTTTTAAGCAGTGAAAAAGACTGGACTGTATCTTGCACCGTTTTGAAAATGACTAGGGCTCGACATTGGTGTTTTTTCCTGTAGCTAGGAATGCTTTTGCCCCAGTTTTCTTAAAATCTGATTGTGAAATGACAGCTGAATTGCTTCTTGCAAACAAAATTGATATCTCAGGTAAAAGAGGCTAGATACCAGTGATGTAGGAATTGTTTTACCCGCAGTCGTGGCAACATATTAAGGGAAAGACAAATATGTTGTCGGAAGTCTTCCTGAGAAGCTACCTTTACTGTTTCAAACTTCTCTGTTACAGTTGAAAGCTACTAAGACGCCACACATAATTGTGATATTTGTCTCGAATAGAAGTTAGAGAAAAAGAATAAAAGCTTGGTCAGATGTTCAGTGCTTTATTTGTGAACAGTAGCTGTAGATGATGGGACCTCGTAAGGCTTTGAAATTCTAGATCACTGTTGAAACAGATGGTTTCAACAAATATGGCCAAAGACTTGGGTTTGGTTGAACTTTAAGTCAAATCAGAGTATTCAAAATAAATATTGCCTTCTGGAATTTTCAACTGTAATTTACCAGAGAGTGGACTTTACCAAATAAACATATTATAGTCATTCCCAATTTCTGTCACTGTTTTTCTTCAATTCAGCATATTTGGGACAGACATGCAAAAACAGAGAACTTGCTACACGGCTTGGAAGGAGGAATTTCTCCAGAATCTCTTGCCAGCTGCTGCTGCTACTTAGGAGAGCAGAAATCAACTTTCTGTTGTATTGAGTGAGCTCTGGGTTTCTTGCCTTTCCCGAAGGAGTAGAGACAGGAAAGTCATGTTCTGATTAATACTGGCTAGTTACTTATTGCTTTGGTTTCATTTATGCATGTTAATGGCAAGTAAGGTAACTCTACCAGAAGGGCTTCATAGATGCTGCAAAACGCTTGTTAAAGTCTCCGTTACAGAGGTCGCTGTGACTGTCCTGTGATCCTCTTAAGTATTTTTTCCTGCCACCTGGCACTTCCTCCTGTTCATTTGCCTTTGACTTGGTCTCCTGTCTCTGACAGACAGTGAGAGGCTTGGGAAGTGGTATAAGTTCACTTAAAAAAATGAAACAAAACAAAAAACCCGAAAAACTGAGGGCTGATGTTGTGTATGACCTGCATGACCTCTCCCTCAAATACCTGCAGCTTTAAATAGGAAGGCAGTTTAAATTTTGTTTTCGTTGCTTTCTGGATGAAAAAAATATTTATCTGGATCATGTTCTTTACTGTTTTGTTGTTGTTTTACTTGTAAGAAGCTTTGCATTTCAGATTAATTGACTTTTGTGCTTGCTTCCACCCTAGTGTTTTAGGTGTCAACATACTAACATGAGCTTGAGCTTGAACGTGCTCAAAAGCACAACAGTACGTTAAAGTTAGAGAAGACTGACTAACGGCCAGGAAAAAATGGAAATTGCTTTCATTTGTTAGCTTTGTGAACGTGCTTGCTTGCTATTAGAAGAAGTTGAAATGTTCAATTTTCCTCTTTTGTCCTGATTAAAAGCTTTGAAATTTCTTGAAGTCTCTTCATTTTCTCTTCATTTCTTAAAATGCACAAACTTTCTTGTGATTTCCTTCCCTCTCCCCAAAGTAGTGTTCCTGACTCTGGGCTCTTTTCAGGAACTAGGGGGTAGCTATTGGAAACCCTTAGTGGCCCAGGGAGGTTTGAAGGCACCAAGATTTTGATTTCCTGCTGTTTGTCCTGGGTCAAATAGGTGTTTTTTTGTTTTTTTTTCCCTCCTCTGCAGAGAGCTCTGGTTTGAGATCGGATGCTCCGGCTCTTGGCTGTGTAATATTGTCTTGGTTTTGAAGGTTTATGCCATAGGCTTGAAGATAGCTGATCCACAATTAGATCACCATAGGGCACTGGAGAGAAATGCCCCCTAAGAAGATATATTTGCTGCACAGCATTGATCCATGCTCTGAAAATAGGAACCCAAACTGCTCAAAGCCTTTGTATCACTCATAGATCTGAGTAGTCAAATGAATCAAGAAAATAGCAAATTTTTCTTGTTCGATAGTCACTTTCAGTTCTATATAGTGTATTTGCTGGCAAAGTATATGATTCACCTCCAGGTTTTAATTTCTTTTGGGATTATTTTAAAGAGGAAAGACCTTGTAAAAATAATACTAATAAAATTCTGAGAGAATGAGACATTGTGGACTTGTCAAAAGTTTCTAGAACTTGCATGGTATTGCTAAGTATTGCTAAGCTATGTATTTGTATGTATGAATATGTATTGATAAGTGTAATAATTTAGTAAGTGTGTATACTTAAATAAACTTCTCTAAATACATTTGTGTGCTGTGGTTATGAAGAGGTTTTCGCGTTGTCTATTAGTATTTAAGGTATTAGTGCAGTGTTCTGTGTTTTAAATGGCTAATTCGTCTTTAAAAGAAAACTAAATTGCATAATACTTTTACATTTAAAGAAATCTTTTGTTTGCATTACTTTTTTTATTGATGACATTCAGAAAAAAATGTAGCCTGGATTACTTTGATTTTTGCAGTGGAAGATGTTATCTTAAGTGCCTCTATGTTGTTAACCTCATAATTTGTGGTTTGCTGTGGGAAAAGAAGTCAAAGATTACATACATGCATAAACTTGCATGTGAACATGGAAGGAATTTTAAAAAATAATTTTGGCTAACTTTTTTTTTTTAATTGAATGAAGTTATGAATTTCAGAAACTTTGCTATTACAGGTAGCACCGATTGCAAATGCAGATGAGTCTGCAGAATCAGAAGGGATAATTGATTCTCAGAAACGTAGGGAAATACTTTCAAGAAGGCCTTCGTACCGGTACGGATTTCTTGTTTTTTCTTGGGGGAGGAGGGTGTTTGTTTTTTGAAGTTAGCTTATACATTATAGCAAAACTGTCTGATAAAAGCTTGTGACTTAGTTTTCTCATGGATATCGAATTTTAAATATCTGTAACATTATTTATATTCTATTTTAGAAAAATTTTGAATGAGCTATCTTCAGATGCTCCTGCAGTCCCGAAAATTGAAGAGGAAAAGTCAGAAGAAGAAGGAGCACCTTCAGGAATTCCTGCAATGGCCGTGCCAACCAGCCTGTATCAGACTAGCACAGGGCAATACAGTATGTTTGCAAAGATACTATGTAGTGTTGCACTACACATGAAGGAAAAATTTTATTTCCAAAAAATTCTGTAATGAAGTAGAAGTGTTTGACTCTGAGGAAGAAGAATGAGAGAGAGCTCTGTATTTCTAAATAATTTAAATTTTTTACGTTTAATTTCTCCTAACATAGGCATGACAAACTTTTAGTCTGTTTCTTGTAATGTTTGTTGATTGCTAAATGTGTACTCTCTCTAGAACTCTCTTCCGCATTAAAAGCATGAGGATGAGGCTTGGGTGAAACGACAAATGTTGGTGCAGAGTTATCTTTTATATAAATGTTCGGTGTTCTAAATTACTGCAGTTCCACATTACTGTGATTTGTTATGTATTAGTGTTACACGAGTTGGCAGTGGGTTAAAGACTTTTTTTGGAGTTTTTTTTCTTTTAACTTTGAATTCTTTTTTTTCAAATGTCCCGTCTCTCCTCCTCCCCAGTGTTCAAGTATGGTTAGAGTATGACTCTTTTTCTGCTTTGGATTTTCTTTCTGTAATGGACCATCTCTCTCTCCCTCTCCAATGTTCAAGTCTTAACATTGTATTAACTGTGGAATAACCAAGTTGTGGTCTTCAACTTTTGCTGCTTCATCCAAACGCTAGTTAAAAGTTAGAGGCGCAGTTCTGTTCTATTTTATAGATTTTTGAATTCTTGAGTTTATTTTGAAACCACTGAAAAGCTATCATTCTTAGTAGCTTTGTTATGCTATCATCTAAGGGATTATCATCTAAGGGATTCATTTCCAGTCACTTGTTTTCCAAGTTTGCAGTGGATAAAACCTCACTCCTAGAGTTATTTTTCATGTCTTTTTATGTGTAGGCACACTGAAAAGCAGATATTTTTCCTATAATATAATGACAGGAAAATTGCGAAAGGATTGTTTTCTGAAACGCTTTTGAGAACACAGGAAGGTCTGTTAACAATTAACAATGGAATATAGAAGAGGGTAGAATGGCTCGCTAAAAGTTACATTGTAGTCACTATTAGAATTCTTCAGAGTTATTTTTAGTTTGTCCTGCCAGAGCCCAGTTATCAACTCTGAGAAAGCAAAATTTGCATATAGTATTATCCACCTTCCTGCATAAAACTAATTTTGCTTGGGCTTCGTAAGCTGCTTTTCTTATCCTTTCTGTAAGGTGTGGACATAAATAAATATCTGCGTCATGATGTCTAGTATCTCAAGTGCTCTTTTCCCCAGACTTCTGGACATGCTTCATGGTTTTCCAGTCCAAAATCTGGCAGATACCTTTGACCGAACTAAGTTTTTTAGGAGTTTTTTTTTAGGTTGGATTGGGTTTACTTTCAAAAAAAAAAAAAAGTTTGTGATTTCAGGCTTAAAAAGAAAGCTCTATATTGTTTGTACTATGTTCTTGCGATTCTTCAAACCTTTAGGCTTTCTGAGAAATTAGGAGTTAAGATTTCTTAATCATAGATTCCTCTGGGAAACCAGACTTGTACTTTTATTAGTAAGCCCTACAAGGAGACCATTCTCATTTCATAATCCAAGGATGTTTTAATTTGAAAATAAGTATAAATTGTAGTGACAGTAAAGTATATAAAAGAACAATGAAATTTTCATCAGTTTTTTCTCTTGTTCAAACAGACATTTACTTTTGAAAAATCAAACAGCAGAGAGCGTCCCTAACAATGTGCTTGAGTGAGCAGAGTCCATAAAAATTTAATTAAATCTAATTTATCTTAATTTAAGTTTGTCTTTAGCATGAGCCAAGTGTAGAAGAGTTCTGTTTTATGCTGCTCTTTCTTTGAATAAGTTATATTCATAGCCTAACACATGTGCTGTGAATTTAGGATAATTTAATCTATAAATACTTATTTAATAAGTTCTCTACAGTATTCAGCAAAGAGGCATTACTTCAAGATGCAATGTCAGCCTTCATAGGCCTTACTGATTCTGGCTTAAATGCTTTGTTTCTAGAGCTTTTTCTTCCTGGAAATGGCTTTATTACCCACTTTAGCCTTTAGCTTACTTCAGCTCATTCATTTGCCCCCTCTTTTTTTTTTCCTCACCTATTTAAGTTAAAATGCCATATACCTTTTGCTGCAATGAATTATTTGTTACCTCTGTTTCTGGTTAGGACAGATTTCATCAAAATGTTTCTTAGGATCCTGTTCATTACCCTTGAAATTTCTGCTTGCCAGAAAAGTTAGATTTGAGGTTGAATCCAAGTTGCAGCAAGGATGAGCACCAACTGCCAAGTATTAGTAGAGGGAGTCTTATTTTGGAACCTCCCGAAGAGAGCCTGACTGTTAACTTCTAGTCTTGATGCTTTTAGGCACAGGTTTGCAGCATTTCTGAGCAGGCTGCCTGTGGTCTGCGCGAACTGCTGTCAGATAGAACCATTGACGCTGTAGGAATACAATATCTCGTGTTTTGAGTTCAGCGTGGATATGATACAGAAGGCCACTGCATATATTTTGTATCTTTGCCTCTCCTGTCAATAGCTCTTTACCTCTGCTCATCACTGCCATTTCTGAGTACCTCTGTTCTTGGCCAGCGTCGGTTGCGTGGGTTCTCTTGCGTAGGCATCTTGCGTAGCAGTTTAAGCATAAAGCTCTTACAAATGCCTGCGACCATGAAGAATTCATCTGGCAGTGTCACTACAGCAGTCTGTAGTGTGCCCTCGTTTAAAGCAGGTATCACATGCTACTTAGCTTGCTAATTGCTTGTTTTCTCTCCTGTATTACGCAGGGCAGCAATTTGGAAATAGGTTGGTATTTGAAAAGATCATCTTGACTCTCCCAGCCTCTGGAAGGCTATTCTGTGAAAACTTGATAAGTAAACTTACCTGAAAAGACAGTTGCTTCTATTAGTAGCAGTTACAGCTGTTCTTTGCTTATTTTTTACCAGCCAAGGTGACACAGTGCCGTGGCTGGGATTCTGAATGTCTTTTTCTTCAGAGCTTGTTACAGCTTTGGCTGTAGCTTTGTAATATTGGTTATTGAGTACAGAAAAATTGTTTTGCCTCCTCTGCAGTGATGGTCTGAACATGCAGGAGTTGTTTGTGCTCTTGGAGTGTGTGAATCATTCCCCTCATCCCTTTTTTTTTTTTTTTTTGCCTGCTTGTGCATATCATGAAGTTCTTTCTGAAACAGTTTACAGGAAATTAATACTTGCCTTAACTAACTAGTGTCTTTGCCTCTGTTCAGGTTGCTTGTTCTCTTAGGGCAGGTTTTTAAAAAATGGAGAACTAGGAAATCCTTTTTGGAAAGGCCAAGTTTAGTTGTTTTTCCTTGTTTTGGAAAGGAGGGAAAGATCTGATCTGTTTCTCTGGATTAGAGCTGTTGATCTACTTGGAGAATGATGTTAATAGTATCACCAGTCTTTGGTCCTAGCTAGAAGATAAAATGCCACTTTTATCTACCTGTGTGATAAATAACTGCAGTGATTGTCTGGAAAAATCCTCGACTCTTCATAGAAGTTGCAATTTCAAGTAGCACTGTATCACAACGAATGACTCTACAGTGGTAGAGAATAAAACAGTGAATGCTTGGGGAGGGAGTTATTCTGGTAACGTGATAGCAATCAGTCCTCTGGCGGGGAGATGGTTACGGGAGTTCATTTCTTGCTGGTTAGAAAGCTCTGAATTGTGCTCTGAATAAATAGTTGCGATACAGCTATGATGTAATCGTCCACCCAGGTTCACTGTGGAGCTAATTACTTGGTATGATTCTGCGCTGATGTTTTACTGCTCAGGAACACAACCTGACGTCCTTTTTTTTATGTGGTATGGTACTGTGATGATATAGGCATGTCATCTTTGGTGCTACCTCTGTGTGAGGCAGCATTCAGCTGTGTATAGCTACAATTTCTCTGGGAAATAGAGGCAACAAATTCTGCTGGAAGCTTGTATGCTGCTGGGATCCCACTACTGTCCTGCACATCGCAAAGAAGAGAGGAGATGAAGATTTATTTTTCTTAGTTCTCTTTCTTCCACTGTCTCCCAAAATGGGACACTTTCTACATTGGAGGCCAGACCAAAACAGCATCTTATTCCATTTTTCCTAATGCTTTACGGAACTGGCATGTAGTGCACAACTAGTTCCTACGTGATGTCCTACATGACACTACTGCAAGCTTGGGACTGGAGGTCACGCTGATCTCTGTTCCAGCAGGTAGGGCTCAGGACTTCATTCAGTGTGCTGCATGAGAGAAAATTCTGTTTTTAAAAAAAAAAAAAAAAAAAAAAAGAGGGGAGGGAAGCTAATTTAATTGCTGGTAGTTGGCCACTTTGGTAGATAACTACTTTCAAAATATTATCTGAGGCCCTCGTAATCATTTAATATTTTCTGCTTTACTAATAACAATTTACAAATCAACTTAGTACTTCAGTGCCACTTTGAAGTGGACTAGGTTGTTGTATCATGTTGCATTTCAAGATTATCTATTGTCAAGTGTCTATCTTCAAAACTCACGTGGGTGACTTACAAATTGTACTCAGATGACTGGAGGAGCAAAAACTTCAAGGACACCAGCAAATATTGTGAACCTGACAGTGAAACTGAAGGAACTGGCAATCCTGAATGTGTGCTTATATATGACTTTTGAACTGTCTTGGACCCATTTTAAATACAATGATAGTGATCGTGGCTTAAATATTTTTTGGGGAAGAAGTAAGTTTCTTACTTTCTGGGAATTGAGTTCTCTTCTAAAAGTTCCAAGAGCGTATTAATTAACATATTTTTGCTCTCAACAAGAACAGTACTAATTCAAAAGGAATTTAACCTCTCTAGGGAATTTGCTTTTGTGTAAATATTTACTTATGATCAACCCTGAGATTGCATGATATAAGCCTATATGGGGAAAATATATATCTTATATTTTTGACCACAAAGGAAAAAGCGTTATTCTTTGTTTCTCTTTTTTTACATAGGTATCTGACTACTTACAGCTTTATGAAACCTGGAAAAATACTATTGACCTAAACTCACTCCCTAACTAAGGAAAGGAGGAAGAGTATGAGTGTCAGAGGAATTGCTCTTCCTTTGTCCAGATATCCATTTTTTTTGTTTGAGGGAGTTGATAAATGTAAATTTTTTTTAAAATAACTTATTTCTTTAGTGTTTGAAACTTTGAAACTACAGTGATTCTCTGTTGATATAAGCTATCAGTCTCTCTCTCTTTTTTTTTTTTTTTTTTTTTTTTTTTTTTTTACACCTCACTTGTATTAAAACTGTTTTCGGACCATTATCCATGCAGGAAGCATAGAAAATGTATGGAACAGTGCTTTTTCTCTCAGACACACATGGCATGTACTATAAAATGGGTTTTATATTTATGGAAGTCAGAATTAATATTTTATAGATTTTTCTCATGCAGTTACTCTTTAAGCAGAGAGATAGCCGGGAGTCCTTTCTGACAATGTTTATTTAAAAAGGGGAGATTTGCTTTAGCATGTTATATATCTTCTTCTATTACCTAACCTCTCTTTTCTTTTTATGTTTAGTTGCTATAGCTCAAGGTGGTGCAATCCAGATTTCTAATCCAGCCTCCGATGGTGTCCAGGGCCTGCAGACATTAACAATGACAAATTCAGGAGCTCCTCAGCCAGGTGCTACCATTGTGCAATATGCAGCACAGTCACCCGATGGCACACAGCAGTTTTTTGTTCCTGGAAGTCAAGTTGTTGTTCAAGGTATGTTTTATTAGTCTATTGTATTTTACATTTTTTAAATAAAAAACACTATTTCCTAAAGGGCTTTTTGTGTTCGTGTTATTAAATAAAATATTTGTGCATAAAAAGGATGACAGATAATTAGCCTTAGGATGAGGTTGAGTTTCTGTGCTCAATAAAGCAACTACTTCTTTTGATTAAAAAAGTTATAAAGAGGAAATGACAGGATGAAATCACTTTCTGCTTTGAATTCTCTTGTCTAGGCTTTGTAAGACACATTTAATTGCAGTAAAGGTGCTGTTACAGTTTGAGATGCTGAGGCTATATAATTGCATCTCATTTAGTATATGGAACTAATTTGATTTTCAGTGGTTTATCAGTGTTCATATAACACAAGTTCTGAAGTTATTTAGGACGTTTAAATACTTAGGGCAGATTTTCCTTTCAATTTATGACTCTTACGTCCAACACTAAAAACTGCGAGATCCTTGCTTGAAGCTAGTCTTCACACAGAAGAGACCTTTGTAAGCCCTATAAAAATGTGTACATGTGAATTGAACTGTGAATGGTGAATTCTTAATTCTTATTGTAGATTTTCCAGAGGTTTTTTTTCCTTCCTCTGCTGAGGCAGACTGAGAGCCTAAGGTATCTTGGTTTCTTATCACGACCAGGGAAAGTAGGGCTGGGATTAGGGTTATACTGAGGAAAGCCATGGGAAATGGGAAACAGATTTCTGTATGGAGACACTAAATTAATAGCTACCATGGAGGATAAAGTGTGTGTGTGTGTGTGCTTTTTTTTTTTTTTTTAAAAAAAAGAAAAGTTGCTACTGAAAGTGTTAAAGAAGCAAACCTGGGACTAAGCCCAACGCTACTGAAAGGTGCTTTTGATGATACATCCCCTGAAAAACTACAGCCCTCTTTTTTTTTTTTTAAATCCTTTTCCCTGTTTTTTTTGTCAGTGGAGAGAAGTACAGCGGGAGGTCTGTATGAGGGCTCTTAAGCCAAAATGGCTATCTTAAATAGGCTTTTAGAACGGCTGGGAGGCCTCTAAATATGCATTCATGGAGGGGATGAGAGTCATCGACTAAATGTAGGCGCAGATATCTGAGCTAGTCAGTAGAGTCCAGGTTGAGGCTTATTTTTCCCTAATATAGATGTTTGAAATAGATTCTGTCTTAAAGTGCCTGTTTCTCTGTATGCTGTAAAGAAAGCCCAGGATAAAATTAAGACTAATACCATGTAGCTATTTGAACTTCCTGAGGCAGTGCTAAATAATAATACCACACTTCAGCTCTTCCATTGCCTCTGGTTAATTCTTTACTGAAATACATTACCTTTTTAAGACTTCCGGAAGCATTCCCTTCCAAGGAAGCTCTAAGACCATGATATGAAAAGCTCTAAAACAAGAAGTTAGTTTCTATCATGCAGAGAGTACAGTAAAGTTTTAAGTAAAGCAAGTAGCAATCATAAAAGCTATTGTAAATACCCTGCGCAGTGTTATGAATATATTTAGCAAGGTGCATTTCACACTCTGTGTGTATGTTGAGTAGGGTCTGATATAACTTCTATACATGTGCATAAACACTATTTATTTAAAAATTGGAGAGTTTCTCAATCTCTCTAGTTTGGCAGTAGTATTTAATACGTACTGCTTGATTCTCGAGAGCTCCTGGGAGCAGCAGAAAGTAGCTCCTCAGTTGTTTCCTAAAACCACACCAGCCTGTTAAGAAGCACAGACCTTGGAGACTGTATCTGGCAGCTTTTCAGGGCATTCTAGTTGACTGGCCCTCCTTTACGTGCCCCTCGAACATGGTTCTTGGGGCTGTCCTCTAACCCTCTTACTCAGTGGCTCAACTACTTGGTGGGGTATAGTCTATTAGGTGTCTCGACTGTAATTAAACCTTTCAAAGTGGATTTGGAGACAGTTACTGAATACTTGCTATATCTTGTTTCTGGAAGTTTCTAGCTCCTTTTAACTGAATTGATGTTGTTCTCGGTCTGAGAACTCTGAGAAGTTGGTTTTAACTGGAAATCTGAATTCTCTTCAGTGGTTCTCTCTGTTCCTATGGCCCAAAGTCCAGTGCTGTAGTGATGTTCATAGTTGTTGACGTAGAAGAAAAATGCTTAATAAAATATGAAGTAAATAGTAAGTGAGCGTGAACTCGGAGATGATCGTAAGGTATAAGATGTCAACTAAATAATGGCTCTTCTGATACTGAAAAATCCTTTGAAAAAAATCTTGTAGGAGAAGGGGTTAATATAAACAGGCCAAAGATGTCGATCCAGCTGAGTGATCTTTCATTAGCTTCAAGTTTACATTCATAGGCAAAATAAGAGGCAATTCTGATGTCCTGATAGTATCCTAGTGCAGATTAAGGGCTTTTTGGCTAGCTGGAGAAAAAGGAAGAGTGTTTAAATATTAGAGAAAATGAGAGTGCAGAGAAGGCATATCAAAATTATTCTGTTGAGATCTGTGTGTTTTCGTAACAGATTTAGTGATGTGAACAGAGATATTTCAGAGGTCTGTGGCTGTTATTTCCTACATACTTGAGTTCTGATTGTTTGCTGATATGACCCCAAAGTGGGCCTGTAATCGCAGGAGCTCTCTTCCTTTGCATTGATGCTTCCATTATTGCTTTCTTTGGCATAGTTTTGCAATCGAATTGCCAGTCTAAAGTAGTTTATTACAAACAGAGGCCTTAGAAGTTGTTTACTATGCCCTATATAGACAGCAGTGCCTGGACTGTTGGTCTGAATTAGATTGCATTTAAATTGGTGTAAATCAGGAATAACTCTGTTAAAGCTAAGGTAAATTTTTGTTTGTTTGTTTTTTGATTTTTGTTGTTGTTTTTTTCCCCCCTACAAAATAAGTCACCCAGCAATCTTGGACCTGTCTTGGAAAAGAGAGGATTGGGAGAGAGGTTACCCTTACCCAGAGCTACTACTGTTTTGCCTGCTCTTGAGTCCAAAACCACTGGCATTGAATTGTGTTATTTGGTTGGAGCTTTGTTCAGTCTTTTCTGAAGCTTTTAATTGAAGTGAAATTTGGTTTGTTTGTTTTTCAGGGAGCTTTAGTGTTTAAGAATTTCTTTGGTTACCTATTTGTTAGAGCTTATTAAGCTTTCCTGTCTCACGTGTCTGTCTCGCAGAGCCTTACCTTTTAGTGCAACTGCTCCAGCGTTGATCAAAACAATTACACGTGTCTTTTAAAATCTTGCTATTTTATATCCAATCATGATTTTATCATTCTGATTCATTCATGAATTCTGGAGTCACTTTGTAGTTTCTGTCAGTGCTGTGAATCTTCAGGTCTGACTTTACAGCCAGCTCTGTGCTGAATGCTTTCTGTAAATTTATGAATAATTCAGAGGAAAAGAGCAAAGCTAGGCTTATAGAAATATGAAAAAAGTTTGCTGGAAAAAGGAGATCTCTTTGGGCTGCAGTTGCAGTGAGCTGTTCCAGTGACAGAGCGTATTAATGACAGTGGTAGGCAAGTGAGGTCACTGTGATGTCAGTGCTCTTGCTTGTAATCCTGCACATGCTTGCTAGTTAGGAACAGTTCATGTTGAGCTCTGGGAGAGGAACAGGAGAGTCGTGTGTGCAGAAGCTGATCATGGCTGTAACAGGAGATGAAACAGGTAAAAAAAAAAAATGTATTAGTCTTTCACATTGCGTTTTTGGATGTGTAAGCTTAGTATTTGTGACATTTTCTTTTGAACTTGTTGCTGTAACTCTTTTCGTCTTTGAAAACTGGCATGAATAGATCTGATTATAATTAGTCAGTGTAGGTTTTCAGTGTAATTTTAACAGTTTTCTTTAAAAACATCACTGTTAGACTATGCAAGTTCTTGCACGTATTGATTCAGATAACTAATCTTTGCTACCTGATGCAGGATTTTGCTGAAATGTCCATCAGTTTTCTTTTAAATCCTTCTTTGTTGTGGAGATGCATGTTGCTATGTTTATAATTATGTTTTTTCTTTTGTAGAAAAGATACTGCTTTTAGTTTTAGCAGTAAACACTTCAGATTTGATAAGCTAAAATAGACTTAAGCATAGCTGTAAGAGGACAGGTGTGCATTGTTTTAGTAGTATAAATAAACCCTTATGCTTTTATTGCTAAAGAAAATAGTGAGTACAAACAGATTTGAAAGAGCAATAATTTTGAGTGTTGTAATGCCTGCTTGTTTTCTCCTGCACTGTTGAAATGGTCTGTTCCTCAGCTAATTAAGTTCAAAAGGCTGACGTCATTAGATTTCCTGGAATCGTGTTGCAGTAGGGAACTGGAAAAGTTAAACTCCAAACAAGATACACATTGACGTCAGCTCCAAGTCATGCTGTGATTTAGTCAGTTCCTTTGTGCTTCGTCAATCCCCTCCGGCAGCTCTGTAATGTTAGCTGGCTTGCAGCCGGTACCTACGTCCTGCTTATTGCTGTTTCGTGTTTTTTCATTAATCCAAAGATAAGTATCCTAAGTCCATGTTTCACGTTTTTATGTTCAAAGGAATAATAATGATTCATGCCTTGCTTAGCAAGTTTAGTGGTGAAGTTTAAACCCTGACAAGGGTAGCTGATAAGCTAGTCCCATCATCATGACTCACAGGAGGGGAGAGTAAATACACTAATACATAGCACATACCAGCTTTTTCTTCTGGCTAGTGGAAGTGCAGGGATGCTCTCTAGTGTTCAGCAAGTTGTTTTCCCCAAGAACCTGCTGATATAAGGTGGTGTTTTTTTCTCATAATTTACTCATTTTGTTAATTTCTCTGAGCTTAATTTGCAAGGGTAGTTGTACTCTTCTGGATTTAGCTGTCTGAGGGTTTTTTTGTCTATTTTTTTCTTTTTTTTTTCTCCGTGTTAGTAACTTTCATTTTGTAAGTCTGAGCTCAAATCCTCAAGTTTTTTGAGAGACTTTTTGTTTAGTAAGAAAGAAAGTGACTGGCCTGGGGTGATGAGTTAGGGGAATAGACCGTCCCCAGGTTTGTTGTGATTCTTGGTGTTTTTCTTTTGACTTGCGTGTTGGCTGCCAACTTGATCTGTTGCAAAAGCATAAGCCAGGATAGCCTTTGTAAAAGTGTTATGAATACTTCTGAATGTACCTTAAGACAAAAACATGCATGCAGTATACCAACCTCATTTTTCTGTGGTTTTGTTCAAAGAAAACAAATCACTGGCTGTAAATTAGCTCTACGGAAGGTGACTAAAATTGCTGTTAACAGTCTCGGTCCTATGTCTCAGTTGCAGGAATG